AAATAACATGGTTTCTTTACTATGGTAACTTAATTGAAGTCCCTTAACAAGTTCCCCAAACAGAATCCTCCCTCCTCTCTCGCCTCTGTCAGGAGGGACACCAGCTGGTCGTAGTTGATCAGCTGTGCGCCTGACTATCTTCGCTTCAAAGGAGCTTAATGAAAGAATTCTACCCCTAAACCCTAAACCCTCAACCCTAAAGCGTGGCATTAGCAGGAAAGGACATTATCTCGATTGCTATCATTCCTACTGTGGGAACTTGAATTGTGTAGTGCTGTCCCCGCCTAGCCCAGTCCAGCCGACAACCGATACCCTGAAAAAGCCGTGTAGGGTTCAGGGTTTAGGGTAGAGGGCGGAGCTTTCTGCGTTTTAAGCGGAAGTAGCAGATATGGCTGGTTTTGACTACTCTTGCGTGGCCCAGAGAAGAAGGCACGCTGTGGCGGATGAACTTCATCGGTTGAGGGCTTCGGGTGGCGCTAGAAGCTTGTCTTCTGCATTCTCAGAGTAGTCGCCGAGCGCTTCTCTCTGTACTCTCTGGGCATCGAAGTTTCGTGCTGGCTCCCAGCAGACTCTTCTCCGGTTAGGCTATGACGTGTAGGGTTTCGGAAGCAGTCTCTAGGATCTCCCGTTCCCTAGCTAGAGGAATTCTGTCCGGGGACTGCAACCCTAAACCGGTCAAAACCAACCCCTAAGCCTCGTAAGAGCCCTGTTGTGCAAAATCCAAGAAGCTTTCTGAAACACAGTCTGCCAGGTCGGGGGCCTTCGGTTGAAGAACCTCTATCATCAAGACTCTGCGAAATTGCCTGGGGAAATGAAGGCCAATGGTTTTGATTGCCTAATGACAATAATCCGGGGCGCACATTACTTTCAGCCCTTCAAATTCGTGTGTGTAGCACCGAGGCTGGTGCAGTCGTCGTTTTCCTGCAGATCGATTTCCCTGGCAGGGCTTCCGGGCTCTCGCCCTTAAACCCCGAACCCTTTTCCCTCGCCCTATGCAGAAGTGATCCTGCAGGACTATTGAAGAGTTCCGGAGGCTAGCGGGTCCTCGGGTGGAAGATTGACACAACGTAGCTGCCCCAAAAAGCAGCATACCTAAAATGCCCTAAAATCCAAACTCGAAAACCCCATGTAGTTGAGCTTCTACTTGAACTTCAAAAGTCAGGCCCTTCAGCCCCAGTTGTCTGACCCCGGTTTTGTCATCAACCCAAAGATGCAACTCCTGCGACCCTAAAACTAAGCCCCCCCCAGTCCGGAGCCCGGCATGAATTGCCCGAATTCCCGGCCCCTGCTCAAAAGCCTGAGGCCCGAGAGTCCAAAGTACCCTATAGTCATGTCTTTGGGCACTTAGGACTTAGGAGGCTGGTTAGTCATTTTTTGGCACCTTGGCGCTTAGGGAAACCTTCCGACGAACCCTAATTTTTACTCGTTTAGAGTCCTTGTAAAACCCAGCCGCCCTACACCACCTTTTTGAGCCATTACAACCTGAACCCTGCACCTACGCCCTGGCCCAAAAACCTTCACCAAAAGAGCCTACGAAGCCTTAAATTTAAGCACTAACGAAACACCTGACACCCAAATAAACCCTAAAATGCAACCACAGCAGCCCTCAAGACCTTGGCCCCAAACCCCGTGCAGTCCTGAACACCTTGACCCTAAACCGCAACCTCAATCTTAAGCCCGCAATCCCAAACAGCAGGCCTAAATCTCCAAAGCTTTGGACCGTAAACTATTCGCCCCAAGCCTCTGTCTAACTCCTTTCCAGATAGACAGATAGATGGATAGATACGAGGAAAACACAACGACACTTGTTGGAAAGCGCAATACAGAAAACAAACCACGAACCAAACAAACAACATGAAATGTACCTAAGAGCCTTAAATGACTAATCTTTACGACCCCCGGGAGCCCCCCTCAAGGGTCTCTGAGCTGCCGGCGCTTCGAAATCGCGTTCGAGATTCTGGTGCTGCTCGGTGCCTAGCTAAAGGTTTAAGCTTAAGCGGTTTACAAGTTGTGTTAAAGCTTTTTTGTGCGGTGACCTTTTTCTCCACGCGAGCACAAGTCTAACGGCCTGTCCCTGACGGGACGTGCGCTGAAAAGGACTTACAGTCCGACCCCAGGCCCTGGGCTCGTCAAGACTCTGAGTCCGCACTCTCAAAGCCTTCCGTCTCCCATACTTCCATACCCTCCCTGCTGATGCGGTCCTCTCCTGGTGCACTCCTGTCAGCTTGCGATTCGAGGTTGGCAGGAGCAGCCGCCACCACAGATATTTTTGTTGCAGACAGAAGCCCCTCCAGCAACTCCAACAGGTTCATGGCTACGACTGCAATGGCTGCCTCGACGAGCTCCTTCGCTGCAGACGCCGTCGACCTCCAATGCCAAATTGCATATGGTGTCGGTGCGACACATGGGGCAACGGCACATCAGACGGGTGGTTCGGGATTGGCACGCTTTCGTCAGCTTGTGCCACGTACAAGTCACGATCATCTCCATATACCCATGGGCCCAATTGTAAATCTCGCCCAGCTTGCCCATACAGTCCCCGAGCGTGTTGAGGCCATGCACATGGGCCATAACCCGCAGTGATAATGGTGTGCGGCTCAATGTCGGAGAAGGCATTCGCAAGGACACTCAACAGGAATCCCGGTTGAAGTAGCACGGCAGGAGCTGCTGCCAGTTGCAATGGAACCGTGGTGGAGGCTGTCGAGCCATGCGTTGCTTCTCGTGATACTGCACAGCATAGGCGGACGTCCATCGTGGCTGAGTTTTATGGCATCACTGCCTTCGGGACCGGGAGCCAAGTCAGAGCTTCCTCAACTGCAACAGCCAGTAGACGATCGCAGTGGCGGAGCATCCTCTGACGGTCCATCAATCTCCTTATAACATCAACCACACCCACCCGCGCACCATGAACAACTCCGTACTCACCACATCTCGCACGATGCCCGAAGACCACGCTGACAAGGAGCTGGATGCTGACGTAGAGGTCGTGCTCGCGAGCAAGTGAGTTGAGGAGCCCATAGACAGCACTCGTGTCAACCTGGACCAATAGCATATGTCCATCATCCTCGAAAGTTGCCCCCAAATTCGTTCGACCCCAGGCACCAGATCATCCCAGGACGTGTCGTGGTGGTTGAGGAGGATGATATCGTCGACGACTGCAAGCACCAAGTCACTTGAGGGCATGCAGGGGTCGCAGAGGAGGATGTGGTCGCTAAAGTCATCCGCGAGTCTAACGCCCAGTGCAATTCTGGTCCATTTCCCTCATCTTGGTGCTCGTCGCCCGGAGAAGGTGCTCGACGCGGCGGACGGTGTGCTCTGGGACTCCTCTTTGTTACAAAATTCCTCTTTCAGCGTTGGTAAGTTGCATTAGCCACGTGGTGTCATCACCAGTATCGCGAACATCAGGAAACAACCCCAACGCGGGCACCGCGGCAGTGGAGCTCACATCACCCCAATCATCCCAATGTTGCCATTGAGCTAAGCCTCCTGAACAAGCATCCCAAAAACTCCACGAACTCCATGTCTCCCATCCACTGGTCTCCCACCACTGTTGGTTTCCTGTCCAGTCCTGCCATTCCGATGGGCCTACTCCATCAGGCGGTGTTGGTTCTTGTCTCCTCGTGAATTTAGCGGAAGGCTCATCTCATCGATGGCATATTCCTGCTCCTTCATGGACATCGTCGGGTCAACCGTGGAAAGGTTCTGCTCCATCTGCTTCACCTGTCTGACCTCAATTCGGTTCCTCTCGAGCTTCTCCTTGATGGAGACGAGCTCCTTCAACAGCCTCGCGATGGTCTTTTTTTGTTGTCCCTTGGCCCCGGAGCACCTAGACGCGCCCCATCACTTGATGGAGGCGAGCTCCTTGAGGTGTCTCAGCATTGTCTTCTTCTCAGCAATGTTCAAGGGAACCCTTCTGCTCCTTCATCTGTCTGACTTCATTTGTCGCTGCCGCCGGCTGTTCAATCGCAACACCTCCGGCCTGTGACGATGCCGCCGTGGGTTGTGCTTCCATCCTCTTCCTGCTCGACCAACCTCGACCTGAACTGACTCGTCAGGTCCGGGCAGGAATTGACCGGCCCAAAGACAAAATCCTAAACCCTATACCCTAAACCCTAATTGAAAACCATCTCAGGCTGGATCTTCTTGATCTTCCCGCCGCATCACTTGCTAGAGAGGAAGGATCCATCTTTCAAGGATTCAGGGTTTAGAGCTCTAAGTTTAGGGCTTGAGATTTAAGCCTAGGGGCTTAGGTTCAAGCTTTTTTGTAGAGTGGCGGCATAAGGCTTTGAGTTCAGGATGTTGTTTTCGGGCGCGTGTTTCAAGGATGAGGACTGGACTTTTTGGCTTCGTGCGCAGGACTCAAGGCTTTGTGGCCGGGGGGTTCGGTCGGGGGGCGGGATTCTTTGTCAGGGTCAGGGTTTAGGGTTTAGGGATTGGGGTCGTAAAGGCTTCGTGAGGTTAGAGTTTTAGGGCAACTGACACTTGCAGAATCAAAAGATTCGGTTGGTTGGTATAAGCGGGCTAACAGCTCCCTGTCTAAGTCCCAGATGACCCGTGCTGCGCAGGCTGCGCAACCCCTAGAAACATCTAAACCCTACACTCTCAACCATGTGCAACGCATGGACCCATCATCACTGCGACCTGCTCGGCATGGCGATACGTCATCAAACAATGTAGTTGCCACCCCAGGGTGCTGTGCTGGTACTGATCCAAGGCAAGAAAAACACACACAAACCCTGTAAAGCCTAAACCGTGAAAGCCACAGGTTCAAGCATGGTAAACAAAAATAAACAACGAAAGCCTCTGAAACCTTCTAAACCACTAGACACCCTGGTCAAAAGGCATGCTAAAAAGGAACTCCCAGACGAAAGTCCTGCATCGACATCATCGAGGCTTCTGGCGAAGACGCCTGAGAGGCTCCGTGAGGGGAGGGGGAATTCGGGTTGAGGTGTTCCGACTTGCTTGGGTTTTAGGGTTTAGGGTTTCAGGGTTTAGGGTTTAGGGTTTTGGGTTTTGGGTTTTGGGTTTAGGGTTTTGGGTTTTGGGTTTAGCAGCCTTTTATGGGTTTTGGGACACCGTGCATGTATGATAGGGGGGCCCTGATGATTGAACAGGATTTCGGGGTATCTAAAGTACAACTATCTAGGGACTATATAGCGGAAGAGTCCTTTGCACTACTTGTTCCCACCCCCCCGAAACCCTAAAACCCTCAAACCCTAAAACCCTAAAACCCTAAAACCCTAAAACCCTAGAACCCTAAAACCCTAAGACCCTAAAACCCAAAACCCTGAACCCTAAAACCCTAAACTGTTAAGACCCAGACCCAGGGATTTAAAATCTCCAGCTTCAAGCTTGCAAGGCTGGCCCCTGAACAGCACACCCGAAAGCCAGACCCGAAACCCGAAACTTCAGATTTCTGATGACATATAAACCCTGCATTAACTACCCATACTAAGGAATATACCCATCATTCCCATAGTTTAGGGTCCTTAAGGTAATGCTACCCATGATCTGATCCTTAAGGTAATGCTACCCATAATAAGGAACATACCCATAACTCCCACATACGTTGTAGGGTCCTTATGACGTAATGCTGAGGATTTATATAATCAACACTAGGAGCCCTACAACTCTAACCTGTTCGTGCCCTTAACCCTGGAAACCCTAAACCCCCAACCTTAAGCCCTAAACACTGAACCCGCCAACCAAACCCCAAACCCTCAACAGCAGATAGGTCTTCGCCGAAGAGCTGAGCTTCATCCGACGCATGGCTCTGCGGGTGCTTGCGTGGGCGGTCTTCGCCTGCTCTTGGATGAACTGTCAATAGTTTGGGTGCCGATGAGTTCTGACCCAAACCCTAAACCCTAAACCCTAAACTAAACCTTAAACCACGTTTTGAGCGAAAGTGTTGGAGCGAGGTTTGTGTTGGAACCTGATTTCGACTTGGGGGCTGGGCTAAGTTGGGGGGTAGGGCTGTTTGGACTTTGGGGTGCTGGGCTGGGCTCTGGGCCGGGCAAACCATCGTGATGACGTTGGCATTAGAAGCTTCGATTCCTTTGCAAAAGCACCACTGCTTGGCGGGTTGGAAGCTTGGCTGGGGTGGGCTTGGGCTTGGGCTGTGGGCTGGCATGGGCTGGGGTTGGGATGGGCTGGGCTGGGCTTATAGAAGCCTTTAAGGAGCCCTTATAGTAGCCCTTATAGAACCCTTTAAGGAGCCCATAGTACCCTGGCTGGGCTGCAGTTTAGGGACAGTCGGTTTAGGCTTGAAGAAGGGCAGTCTTGACAGCAGCACGACTCACTTAGTTTTTTGGGGCGGCATAGCTGGAATAATGTTTGGAGTGCCTTACAGTATAACAGTATAACCAGTATAAAAAGAAGCGGACGTGCAAGGGATAGGACTACTAGGATGGCTCAGGGTTTTAGTTTTCCGGAGAACCCCATACCCCTTAATTAAGGAATATACCTTAAATCAGAATATTAAGGCCCCTATAATTTAAGGTATATTCCTTAATTAAGGGGTATTGGGTTCTCTGGGTTGGAATTTGGGATGTGGCGCGCAACGGGGCATGAAAGCCGTTTCCTTCACATACCTGGGGGCCTGAATAAAGAAAACGGGGCTTTGGGGACAGGTAAGGAATCGTCGGGAATCTGATGGGGGGGGAGGGGGGAGGCTCTTCACGCTTCTATAAAATAGACCCCCAAACCCTCAACCCTAAACCCTGCACCCCGAACCCCAAACCCTAAACGCCCTAAACCCTAAAAACCCCAACCCGAGACCATGCGCGCTTGTTACAAGGCTTGGCGGGTTTTCGGCTCCCCGGGCCTCTCTGTCACAGGCCCAAGATGACTAAACAAACCCTGCTTGGAGGATCATATCGCGCAATCTTAGGGTTTAGGGTTTAGGGTTTAGAGTTTAGAGTTTAGGGTTTAGGGTTGAGCATCTTAGGGGTAGTTTTCTAAATTAGGGTCCCTTTTGGGGTCCCTTTTACAAGGGTGCCGTACTATATAGGGAACCCAGAAAGGGACACTAATTTGGAGGACTATCCTCATAGTATATACATATATATATATGATAAACAATCTCCTGCAAAGGAGTCGAAGCAGAAACCTCAGCGTGCCGCCGGAGCAAAAGATTGCACCTGGACCTACCTGAAAACTGAAGAGCGCAAATCAACGCTCAGGGCCAGGCATGGTCAGGGTTTAGGGTTTAGGGTTCAGGGTTTCGGGTTTAGGGTTTCCAGAGTGGCATAGATACTCAGCATAGACATGCCCACGGTGCACAGCTTCATAATGGGAGGTGAATATCTCATGAACTTCGGCTTTGGCTGATGCCATGAACTACAGGATTTGAGGTTTAGGGTTTAGGGTTTGGGGTCCGGGCCCTGAACTACAGCACACCAGCGGGCACTTAGCCACTGAACCTCGGAATCTCTGTGTCTCAAACGAACCTCTCGCAGCCATGAGTCGATCGCAAGCTCGAAAACCCCGTACCCCGAAGCCTACACCCCCAAGCCTGAACAGGTTGCTTGCGACTTTCGCCGCAGCCATGAATCAAACCCAGTTTGCCTAGGATTAAAGAGGGCTCCCTTTTTGGTTATTCGGCACCTGTATCAGGAACCAAATGACTTCAAAAAGGGAAAAAGGGCGCAAAACTGGGGGACCTAGGTAGGGGCTTAGTGCTTAGGTTTGTCTTGAGGTTGTCATGTTTAGGCAGTAGGCCTTGGGGTCCAGGGTTTCATACTCAGGCCCCCTGACAAGCTTGGGGACTAGGGCGCGGGATGTAGGGTGCTCCTTCTACGGCTTGAAATTTTAGCGTTTTTGGAATTGGATCCCTAAACCCTAAATCCTAAATCCTATACCCTATACCCTAAACCCTAAACCCTAAACCCTAAATCCTGGACACTAAATCCTAAACCCTAAACCCTAAACCCTCGACCCTCGGCCTGCTCCGCAGCCATGCGCATGAAGGACGATTGAAGCTGCTTGTCCTCTTGGGACACGAGCCTGGCTTTTCGAGTATTAGGGCTTTTAGGGTTTTAGGGTTTAGGGTTTAGGCTTTAGGGCTTAGGGCTTTAGGGCTTTAGGGTTTAGGATTTAGGGTTCAGGGTTTAGGGTTTAGGGTTTTGGGATTTCGGATTTCTTCAGGGTTCTTCTAACCGTCATGTTCAGTATCACTACCCAAAACACGAGCCTACCTTGAACGCACTGGGCCCGCCAAAAACCATATCATCCTGCACCATGCATCATCCCTCCACTACACCTCAACAAGACTGAACCCTAAACCCTAAACCCCTAAACCCTAAACCCTAAACCCTGAACCCTGAACCCTGAACCCTAAACCCCTAAACCCCCAAAGCCCTGAACCCCAAACCACGGAGCCCCAAGTAAGGACGGTACAGTAAGGTCTCGGTTTCCAGATGTAGGCTTGGCAAACTTTAGGGTTTAGAGGGGCCCTGATCCTCAAACCGAGGTTGATGGTTTAGGGTTTTAGGGTTCAGGGGTTCAGGGTTTAGGGTTTTAGGGTTTACGGTTGAGGGTTTAGGGTTTTAGGGTTTAGGGTTTTGGGGTTTAGGGTTGAGGGTTTAGGTTCTTTCTCCTGCGTCGCATCTTTGAGCTTTAACAGGGGTGTTACCTGAGTTGTTTGCTGGGGTGCTTTTGGGG